AGACTCTTACACATCTTTCGTGCTTAGCAACCTCCCGCGTGCATCCATAACTCAATAGTGTACGCTGTGGTGTTTACCATTTGTTAACTGGGATATTAGTTAGCAGGTTTTCTTAACCTTACAACTCCCACAAGTGATTAACATCTAACTTCTCCTTATAATATCCTTACATTATCCGGCAAATACGTAATGAGAGTACTTAAACTTATCATGTTGTTTTACGATATCTTGATATAGCACCAAATTCTCATAACTGATTTACAAGTAGCAGCTAAAGGGGAGAATTAAAAATCATTTCTTGGGAATAGGCCATTTTACAGTTGTGTACTTAGCTAGTTGCAGGCCTTTGATTCAGAGTGAGGCTGCAGAAGGTGACCTTGTGATAGAGACCTGTATCTAGTTAGCATGATAACAAAGTGATTTACATTTGAAAGGCAGCAAGGTTTGTATCATAACAAGGTCAACCCTAGCCTTACTCCCATTCAAAGGCTTGGCAACCAAGTACACAACTGTAAAATGGACAATTACGGGGCGGAGAGATGAGTCCTAATTGCAAACGATTTATCTTATTATATATTTGGTCACGCAATGCAGTATCATTGTAGTACATGGGGAAAAAAGAAAGAATACAGTTTTGTAATTTTAGGCTTACTAAAAAACACATGGATTCAACAAATGAATCGTTATTTTCAACTTATATACCTTATAATCCTCTTTGCAAGGCGCGTAACCTTGGCTAGAGTTGCATCGATAGACTTCGAGCTAAATCATCTCATCGCTATCGTAATGCAACGAGAACAAAATACGGGATCATTCACCTATTTTAATATTTTCTTACCTAGAAAACCCAAACCTACCTTTCTGCTAAGATACTCTCGCACAAGAGAGGCCGTTAATGAGATGACAGCATCAGACATACTTAACAATCCAAGGATGCGCTCTTTCGAGGATCGAAGCCTAAAGTACAACCAGTTATCCTTGGCATTTAGGATTTTTCTTCTCGAATCCCCACATATAGCTCCTCAATATCTGATCCCCATGGTGATATATAAGCCACATATACTTCGAAGTCTTTGGATGTTAAATTTTGTACAAGGCGAGAAAACAGACACTAAAATTCACTTATGCGTGAACTGTGTGACGCAATCAATTATTTTCAATTCATACAGTGATAAAGAAGTTATCAATCGATCCGATCTTCTTTCTAGAAAAGCGTAAATAATCCTGTTTTTAAAAAATATTTTAACGAACACAACTTGTCAACATTGCTGCCGCCATTTTGTTTAATTTAAGTCCAGTCCCCTTTCAGCCTATCAGGCCGTCGGACAGGGAGGACAAGGGCAGAGCAAGGGCAGGCGGGAAATACGTCGGAAGCGCGAAGGACCCAAAAAGAGTTTGGATGATTTTTAAACACGGGTGAAAAAATTATGTATGATGTGTCAAGAAAGATCTGGAAACCTTTAGGACTAGACAAGATTAAAGCCTTTTGTGCGTTAAATTTTACAAGAGAATGTGTGGCGCGTGAGTGCAGATTTGTCCAATCAAGAAAACATTGGAACGGCCGGTCTGGATCCCTTTTATGTGAAATGTGGAATCTGCTGATCAGGTATTATCTGTTTTCTCTATGGTTTATGATAGGAACCCAAACTGAAATTGTTGCAAAACTGGCACGATTGGAAACAAAATTATTTTGATTTTCCATTTTGAGTAAAACGGAACAAATCATTTGAATAATTTTCGTAACTGAGGACAGAGTCTTGCAAATGTGGACGATCTATGATGCATTAATGCACAGAAAGCTGCTCTCCCACCTCCTAAAAAAGCCAAAGACAAACGTTTTTCCATGGCCTTCTGAGTTGTCTCTTTTCTTTCTAGTAAAAAAAAAAATATTGGAAGAGGTGTCATCCCCTATTTGTTTTCATCATCACGGATTAACCTATTTCTGCAATTCCAAAAAACGTATCATTCATTTGAAGAAACATTTGCCGATGCGTAAATATGATTAATAATCCTTCAGATCCTTCCACAGCTCTAAATTTCCTTTCTTTTAGATTTCATCAACGGATTTAACTTCCAGTGCCAATAGGGCCCTTAACCTTTTATTTTATATCGTTAAACTTTTAACCCCTAAGATCAACCTCGTTCCCAGGGCCTTTTCCCTTAGTTAGGGGTGGAGTTGGAGATGGGGCAGGCTAAGGGAAAAGACCCTGGGAACGAGGTTGCTCTGAGATTGACTAGCATCTAATTTCTTCTCACGATATCACCCCTTAACCCCACTTTAAGGATGAGGATAACGGAAATGATCAACTTAAAATAATCTTAATTTTTTAACCAACTCTCCTTTTCAGCAGCTTAGGAAATGTATAGAGAACGGTATGGAGAATATGCATACTAATAATTTTACGGTTTATAGGGCTAAAGGAAGAGAAAACTAATCGCTAGGAAACTTTATGTAACTCACGAATGTAACTCTATTTGTTCCCAAAAAATGTAAGCACAACTTAACAAATGGTAAACACCACAGCGTACACTATTGAGTTATGGATGCACGCGGGAGGTTGCTAAGCACGAAAGAAGCGTAAGAGTCGCTCGAGGCGATAGCCGAGAGCGACTCTAGCTTCTTGAGTGCTTAGCAAACCTCCCAAGTGCATCCATAACTCAATAGTGTACGCTGTGGTGTTTACCATTTGTTTTATAACATAACATTGATACATTGTAGCTAAAGAGTTCCCTTTTATTTAACAAATCTTACGTGACCAGAAAAAACAAGCGCGCGCGGAAAAATAGTCTTTGCATTTGCTCACGTCAGCAGCGTACACCCATGGGCAAATGGGGGACGCTAAATTGACCAATCAGAGCGCGCGCTTTACTTTGGTTATGTTATAATACATATTAGTGGTCTTTTTTCATCCGCACAGTGAGAATATGGAACGCTCTAGCTGATGACATTGGTCTTTCTGTAACTACGTACCCCTCTTATCTCAGCTCATTCAAGGTACACCTACTCAGTAACCATAAGCAACCACTCCGTAAATCATATGACCCTGAAGATCCTCGCTCATTTAAGTCTATCCGCACAAGTTGCAACAAAGCCCGTAATCTGACAAGAAACATTGATTGTTGCTACTCACTACTCATTAATTTTTATTGTAATTTTTATTTCAATTTTATGTGTTCCAGGCCCGCAGTAATTGGCGTAAGCCGTTGCGGAGTCCCTGCCTGTGTTGTACCGTTTACATTGTTTGTTGTGTGTATGCATATTTAACACTAAGTCGGTGAAGCTAATAAAAAAGTAAAAAAACCTTTTACGACCAAGCGGTTGTTTTCAACTATACGTTAGGATCTTGGTACGAGATCAGGTCTAGCCATAAGCGACAACTCCGGGCATACCAAATTTTTGTGTTACATGAGGAATCAGGGTTTTTAGTCATATGGGCTTTGTCAAAAAAAAAAAAAAGAAAAAAAAAATGTCGGAAGTTGGTTTTCTTCATTATTCCGTCGTATCGTCATTTGAGCTCCAAAATAAAAAGCGAACCGGAATGCCGCAAAAATTCACCAGATATGTTTTATGATATTGTATACAGAGTATGTGACGAGTGGCTTTCAGGGTTGAAAGGTTTTTGATGTTTTCAATTTTTGTGGAAAAAGGGCGGATGGAGGTGGTTAACCGTCAAATAACCAAGAGTGACAAGCATTTTATTATAAAAAGCTAAATCAAACGTCAAAGTCCTGAGGAAAACGGAAATGATCGCCAACTGAAACTCGGAACTGTTTAACAAATTTTCGTTGTCCATACCTTGGGAAATGTATACAGACCAGGAGAGTTACAGATAGTATGGAGGTTTTGCGCGCTAAGGGGTTTCAGTGACTTTTTCCAAAAGCGGCTGATTTTGGATTATTTCCTATAATCACGAGGGTGAAATTTTTTATTCAAGTTTGTAATAACTTTTCTTGTAGAACAATGTTATATGGCACATCTGCAGACATTTCTAAAACACTTTATATTCTAATTCGCTACCCCGCTCGAACGAATATAAAACATTTATTATGCAATAAGGAACCAGAATTGGAGTGCGTGTCAACACGAGCAGTGTGCGACCCTCTTTATTAGGTCTACATCAAAAAATGGATAGGAATGATACAACAAACAGAATGAAAACTTCGGAAATGTAAAAAAATACTTCAAGAATATCCACCCTACAAAACGATATAAACTCTGCTCGTATAATAATGATTCCGTAAACGAGCTAAACCTTTTACATAGTAGCATGCAAAAACGACGTCTAAGAGAAACTGAGAATCCCTGGGTATTTAACTTAAAGGGCGTAGGGACGGTCGTAAGACGCGAATGAATATAATTGACAACAACTCAACGAAATAAAACCTACTGCTAATGAAGCAATTGTAACAGCATGCCATGTAACGCCCCTAAGGAAGATTTACATAACCCATGATAAATTTTACATATTTCATCCTACATGCCGCACCATGAATAGTGACACACTTGGCCTACAAAACAGAGATAGTACACTTCTTTACGTGATATTTTAGTTAATTAAAACTTTACGTCATGGCAGTGCATGTTTTGAAAGGAACATGCAATGCTAAGGTTCTTTGTTCAGTAGTAAAATTAAAACGACAAACATTGAATAAAATTAATGTTCCTATGTGCGTACTGCCAATCTTTATTATTTATTAAGTAAATTCTCCAAAAAGCTAGTTTCATTTCACAAACCGATTTCGGAAAGAAATATTTTGTATACTTTGGTAGGTGTACGAATTTTAAGAATGCTTCAAGCTCGATGGAATGTTGCTTTCGATTTCGATGACGCTTTCAGATATTTTCCCACAAATCTCTCACGAATCTTTCGGTTTCGGAGGTGTTAGGTTTATAAGTTTTCACTATTTTATTGTATTAACCTTAAAAAGAGACAATGAAAAAAAAAAAAAAAAAAACCTGAATAATTTTTACAGTATCTTGTTATTGCTGCGGCCACTAAGAGATTTGTCATGCTTCAACAAATAATTTGATTTGCATAATTGACAAAGCTACTGCATTTGAATTTTAATTTTGTTTCACTTGTTAACTGACAAACAGCTAACAACATTCATGATGGACTTACAGAACCAGTCCATAAAAGTCGAGGTGAGTTTTGTCAATTGTTCATTTGCTTGTTCGAGTTATGCAAGAGTGGGAAAACAAACAACTCTTTTCGCAAATTTTAATGTTGACTTCGATGATCATATATCAATTAGAGAGCTTATCTTACTGCGTGTTAAAAAACTTTGATCGCTTTTGACGATAAACTAATATTAAAATTATTTATTATTATAAATAAGCCTGTACTCAATAATATTTATTTTAAATAGAAACAAAAATGATTCAAAGTGCTGGAAGCACTTAGCGCTTTGTCGAAGTTTCGAACTTGGCATAGCGTTGTAAGGGAAGCGTCGATGAAATCAGTTATATGTATAACATATTGTTCCTTTAAAACGCAAGGATAAGAAGCATAAGTTTTGTCCTTCGAAGAGATTCGTGGCTATTTTTGAAATTCAGTTTTGCTGTAAATCGAATATTTCGTAATTACAATAGTGCAACAGTAATTTCTTCATAGGACTGTGATTTCGAAACAAGCAAAATATTTCAGCAATTTAAAATCTTTAGAAACGACTTGAATTTTTACTGCCGTAGCTTTGTTTCGAGAGTTGTATATTTTGATCATAAAATGTGGTTATTAGCCATGAATTGCCATGTGTGACCTAGATATAATATTGACAAGGCCGATCACGTTCCTCTAAAAAGTAGAACTTATCACATTATCATAACAAACCCAGTTTTCTCAAAAACTTATTTGTCTTCACACCTCCCGCTTGCTTAATTTGAAACTAAAAAACAATGCTGAATGAATTCATTAGTAAAACTTAGCCGTGTTAAAATTTTTGATCCGTGACTAGACTTGTCACAGACAGATCTGATTGCTTTTAAGACGAAATTTTCACCTTAATCATTTCTGTGGCTTCTACGCGAACAAATTTCAATACAGGACCAGGAGTATAACGGAGAAACCGTCATTAAGCATCGACAGCCCACCCCCAACCCCACCCCCCAAAACCCCCACAACCCAGTTCCACCATACCGACCTCTCCCCTTGAAAATGACTCCGTACTATTATTCAGGCTTTCTTTTTTTCCATTTAACGTTTTCAGGGGGGTGTAGACGATGGAGCTAGACGAAATACCTTAAGAAAGGAGTTGATCACAACAATTATTGAAGGCGTCACCACCCCTTACGAAGGCTTCCTTCGAACTGTTCAAAATTCAGGTGAGAACTTCATTACAAGAAATAGAAGGAGAGATTGCGAGGTGGACGGAGCACTCGTCCTCCCCCCCCCCCCAGCTCCCTATTTCCGAGTGTGGTGTTTCGGGTTGATTTTTTGGTTGGTTGTCGTTCTTGCCAGTTTCATCCTTTCACCGTCTAAGAGCTACTGCATGCTATCTAATTTCTCCTCGAGGTTTCAATCAAACATTAAGGTCATCAGAATAAAGGCAATGATCGCCAATCTACGAAGCTTTGATTGTTAAACGAATTCTCCTCGATAGTACCAAAGGAAATGCAAAGAGAAGAGTTTGGAGAAGATGGATATTGATTTAAGGGTGTAAAGTGAAAAGATTTTCTCCGAGTTTTTCTGTTTTTCTCTCTCATTTCCTCAAGTGGACAACATTTCGAATTTCAACTCAAACTGGAAACAGTCGGTTTTCCACCTACGTTATTCATTCTGTCAGCGAAGAGGACACGGCAGTGCTTAACCACACAGATTACAGTCCAATAAAGGTTGTGGTGTTAAACTCCGACCTGAGTTAGAGTTGTAAACTTAATTACCTTTTTCCAGCTGATTTTTATAATTCTAACATACAACTACGTCTCGGATAGGTGATCTGCCATGTCTGGGAACGAGAGGGGGACCTGAAAACAAGTATCAGTGGATCACTTATAAAGAGGTAATAAGTTTAAGAATGGTTCTAGTGAAGGAAGCTTCATGTTGAAGCTCGTCGCGCCTTCATAAAGAAATTCGTGAAGAAAGGTTGCGCCACATGACCCCCTCCCCTTCATATTAGCGTTCAGGCACAGGCGCTTTTTCCTCTTTTAGCGATCTCAGTGAAGGCGCATGTCGGGTTATTACGTTTTCAGCCATTTTTTGCGCTATTTTCGAAATAGCGTCCATTGCAATATCAGCACATATAAGCTAAGGCCCTGTTTACAAGCAGGTAAGGTAACCCTAGTACTAGGATTACCCTGGCAGGAGGGTTACCCTAACGCTCCCACATTTCTTCTTTTTTTCATCGACGTGTTTACAAGGCAGCTAGGGTTACCCTAGCACTAGGGAAACCCTAGCTGAGCGCTAGGGTTACCCTAGCGCTAGAGTAACCCTAGTTGCCTTGTAAACGCTCTAGTGGGGATAACTCGCCTACCCGGGACAACTTTTTACTTGTTTCCAGACCCTTTGAACATTGATGACAATGCGTGCGGTTACCAAGCATAGGTAAGTTGTCCCGGGTGGTAGGGTAACCCCACCTGTGAAATTTTGAATGTAAACCCGGGCTATCTTTGACTCGCCTGCTAGGGTAACCCTAGCACAAGGGTTACCCTCCTTGCTTGTAAACAGGGCCTGTAAGAAGACATTCAAACAGTTAATTAGTTCTTTGGAATCTAAAAACCGCAGGAAAAGGTAGAATTTCAATTATTTTTTTTTAGGTACAAGAGATAGAGACCATATGGTTTCTGGCGGGAGATTATTAACTTTTTTTTATAAACCCTTGTTTATAGAGAATGCCTCTGCTTAAAGTTTTTCAAGATGACGATCTAGACAGCGAGGCCGAACAAATCGAACCTCGGGGCTCAAGAAGGCCTTCTCCGAATTACCTTTGGCCTCTTTTTGAAAATGAGGCTTGGTGCTCAACCTCTCTAGCGAAACTGAGATTAATTTGCGTGGCCAATTGTTCTGTGTTCTTATTTATATGTGCACATTTCTTCACTGCTTGTTGCAGGTAAATGATCGCGCCACCAATCTTGGATCTGGTTTGGTTCATCTTGGCTGTGAACCTTCTCAAAAGACATTTGTCGGAATTTACGGTCCTAATTGTGTTGAGGTGGGTTATCGGCTATTTGTGATCGTTATTTTGCTCGTGACATGTCAGTTACATGCTCCTGCACAGCTTTTTTCGAGGTTCCTTCCGGTGGCGAATCTAGGGGGGGGGGAGGGTCCAGAAGACCCCCACCATGTCGGTTTCACTACTTCTTTGACGAGCTCCTTGTCGAGCTCCCGTATTGTCAGCTAGTAGTCGGCTTGTTGGTCTGTTTATGCGGCCTGTTGATAAAATTTGTTGTCAGTGGTCGTGTTCTTTCTGTTGGT